TATTAATTAAAAATTAATTTTAATTATAAATCAATATTATTATATTAATAATTAATAAAAATGTGCAATACAAACCAACTGCATGCAGTGCAGTTTTAGTGTACTTTCCCAATTAAAATATAAGACTACAAAAAATCAAAATTAAAGGCAAGGATAAGAACTTAGAGGCAAATTCTTGAAATCTAATGTCTGCAGATCTTTCAGGTTCACCTTCAAATCCTTTTCATACAGTCATACCTCAAAAACAACATTACAACCTTCAATATTAATCCAAGCGCAAGGACTCATGAGCGACCATCTATCAAACATTTTCATTTTGAATTCTCAGATCTTGGAACCGACCCCCAAGGCCAAAGTGTGCCATCAGAATCCAAACAAAGGAAATGAGCTCTCCACCTTTACTTAATTGCTGAGCATGCTCATGTGAAGGACAATGATATGCAGCACATGACAACATTTCCATCCATACTTTGCTAAGGAGCTTCCATATGTCTACCCCATTTTCCTTTTGCAACGTTTTTAGCTTGTTGGCCAAATTTACCGCATCAAACAACACAGACTGACTTGTAACTTCATTCACAGGATTTGTATTCATAGACAGAATTTGTTTACATGACTCCTTTAGTTGTTCTGGTCCTAAACCATTCTTAGTGAAGAATCTTTCTGCCTCATTACAAGTTTCTTGAAATATTATTCCTCCAATTCCAACCACAGCAGACATTATTTTTGGCTCCACTAACAAAAGATAAAGCAAGTGATCTGAGAGAATCTTACTGAATTCACGATAATTGTTGCTGCAGAATCCGCATTCATCAGGACTTTCATTATTAACTTCATTGGTATTAGTATTGTAGCAGAGTTCAGTTGCAAAGTGCCATAAAAGGAGGCTGTAGTCATAACTAACGTCAGCCAGATATGGAATTAACTCTCTTGAACAGCTTTCCCAAGCTTTATCCTCCAGAACCCAATCACCTCTAGCAGTACATAATCGCCGAATGTTTCTTGGATTATCTGCATACTTGGACTTGTGTTTCAGCTCTGAGAAGATAAATTTCCACAAGTCTTTTGTTAATGGTTCTCTGGAGACATACTTCATCTCGTCCAACAAATCCTTAAGCAAGAGAAATTGAAATATTTTTCCGACAATGAAGCACAAACACTTGATGATTAAGCTCCAAATTCCTCTGGCAATGATAACGCCTGGCCAGGAAAAGGCCTTGTGTTTGCCCAAATATTTAATGGCTTTTTTGATGATGTCTGCTGCAGCTTCAAAAAGAAGGGCAAGGCATAAAGAGTTGATAACAAAACCAGACAAATGAATGATTTTGTCAATTAGAATGCTAAAGCAATCTCTTCTATGGTAATGGATTCTGGTTGGACAACATTTCAAGCAATATCTGATAAAGTTGTATGTTGAGATAGAGCCTGACCACCGGCAAAGTAAAACTGGTGTGGCTAGAACCTCATGCTCATGCTTGACTTCACATTCACAGGGGTACCACGAGGGAGGGCCTTTTCAGAACAAGGAAATAGCAGAGAATTGAATACACAAGTCGTTTTACCTTGGAAATACATGAGTTCTTCTCACGCAATCTTACATCAGGCACAAGAGCTGCAAATGTCCAATCAGAGAAAACCACCATGATGAAAGCCATCACTTCTTGGAATATGACCCAGAGGAATAAACTGTATGTCATTTGAATATCAAATTTGCCTTTAAACGACGCTCGTTCCCACTGGAACCATACAAAGGCAGTTGCAACTAACGCAAAGGCCAGAAATCGACAAACATATCCTTTCACTGAATGCACGAATTCAGACTTTGTTTGGAGAACCTCAGAGAAGAAGTTGACCTCAACCTCTATTAACCTTAAAGCGTTTTCTGCTTCTATAGAGGAGAAGAGTTTTCGAATTTGAGTTTGCCCCCTGAAGTTGTAAATTTGATCGAACACGAGTCCCCTACAAACTTTGTAGCTGTAATAAGCATATTGAATAACTTCTGAGTCATCTAGTACTCCACCTACCTCCGTTGTAATTTCAGCAGTTGTGTGGTGTTCATTTTCCTCCGTAGGCCTTCCATACTTGGAATCAGGATTTGGTTTCTTGAACCTGTCCTGACTCGCAAGATATAGAGCAAACGTCCTCTCAGCATTCTTGATCACTGCTGCAATAAATATGAGAATTGCTGGCATACTTGAAAATGACAAAAGAGCCAAGGCAAAAAGAGTGGCTACAACTTGGAAAATGAGACGATACATATGACTTAGCCACTCTCTAGTTTCCAGAGCAAAAGCAATAATGTTACTGGTGTAGCCAAGGTGTAGCAAGAGAAAGGAAGCCCAACATGAGAGCAAAGCAGTATTGGCATAATCTAGTTGGCCTTTGCGCCCATAATGGCACAAACGAAAATTGTCTTCGTCATTACCTTGGTCGTTGTCACCGAGCTTTTGAATGATGAGGGCAACACCAAAAGTAGCAGTCCATTGGGCAAGCATGTAAGCAGACCAAATAATCAAAAGTAAACATTTTTTGCCTGTGGATTTTCTCAAGGGGGCAACAAGTACTAGGAAGACTTGCAACGAGAGGCTTAAAAGTAGTATGGCTCTGACATCTTTCATTTTGTTGAAAAAATCCCGGGCCAGTTGAAGCGAAGACACATAGGGAGCCGGAGGCGGAGGCGGACGCCAAAGGAAGTACATGACCATATCTAAATCAAAGTCGCAACCTAGGGCACCAGAACTAGAGAGGAAAAAACCAAAGTCATAATTAATCCACATATTGCATAAATCAAAGTGAAAGGTAATTTTTTTTCATCTTTTACCTTATTATAGGATTTAAACTTAATATTATTTACTTTTAATAGAAAAAATATTATTAAATTATTTAGATTATTGATATTGTGTAAATCAAAACTTATTTTCTGAAAACGGGCAATGCTCCTCGAGCTTGACCACAGGTTAGATAAATAAATATATAATACGATGGTAGAAAAAAAATTTAAAATTTAAGGAAAGCAAAAAGATATAAAAGCCTCACCAGTGGCGTCCGCGGCAGACTTTCAGCGGATGAGGTGCTCCAATTGCAAAAGGAAGAAATATGGAGGAAGGATAAGAAAAGTGAAAGAGTTGTTGAGGCTGCAACAATGAAAGGGAAAAAACAGGAAGATATGAAATTTAGATATTTAAACTTGACAAATTGGTCTTATCTCTTCCCCTTGAACCAACTCCATGTAGAAGAGAACTTCTATAATTAGCACATGCCCTTACGCAAAATCTCACCTCTTCTCTTTTTTCTCCTCTCTCTGTGTTTTTCCCTACTTCTGTTTTCCTTCTTTCTCTTCTTTCCTTCCTTCTTTTGTAGTAGTTGGACAACTCCGCGTTGCCGGATGTGGTGTTGCGTCCAACCTCACTGTAGGGTGTCACATTTTTTCCTTGAATTTTCTTTTAAATTATCAATTATTTTATGACTTTTATGTTGGTATTAAATGTATACTATTACACTTGATCCCGTGGACGACCGGGGTATCGTGCTTTTATTCGTCTTTTATTCAATTATATCTATTAAGATTTAGTTATTACACTTTATTTATTTATAATTATTAAAAAA